AAGCCCCCCTAACCCCGAAGCCTTAAGCAGGTGCTCTCGAGTTGAGCCGGGGGTCGAGCCCCAGCCGGAGCAAAGCGAAGCCTAGCAAGAGAAGGGTTTAGGGTTGTGGGTTGTGGGTTGTAGGTTGTAGGTTGTGGGTTTAGGGTTTTTGTTTTTTGAGGGGGGTTGGGGTTTGGGGGTTTGGGGTTTTGGGGTGTCGGGTTTAGGGCTTAGGAGCAAGCAGCTCTCAAGGGGATTCAACTTAGGGCGGTTTGGGGGTCTTGGGGGGGTGTAGGGTTTAGGTTTTAGGGTTGCTGTTTTGGGGGTTAGGGGTTCAGGGTTTTGAGAGTGTACAGGCTTAACAGGGTTTTGAAAGTTTCTAGGCCTTTAAGTTAAGGTTTTTGGGTGTGTAGAGTGAGGCGGTTTGAGGGCTTAGGGAGGTTTAGGCATTTGGGTGGCTTCGGACAGTTTAGGAGGGAGGTTAGGAGTTTAGGGTTGAGGATTTTAGGCCTTTTGGTGGTTTCGGTTCACGGTTTAGGTTTTAGGGTTCAGGTTTTTGGAAGCCACTACCCTTACTTTGGGGCTTAGGGTCTTGCGGTCTAGGAAGGATTCCTTAGTTTGGGTTTTGGGCTGGGGGCTTCTTGTGTTTAGGAAGCACAGGCTTTTGGTATTTTGAACTTCAAAGTTTTAATGTTGGGGCTTGGGACTTGTACAGGTTAACATTTGGGGCTTGGAGAACCGTTTGGGGGGCTTAAGGCTCTGATTTAGGGCGATTTAGGTTTAGGGTTTAGGAACATCCTAAACCCTAAGCCCCAAAACCCTAAAACCCTAAAACCCTAAAACCCTAAAACCCTAAAACCCTAAAACCCTAAACCCTAAACCGAGAGGTCTACTTTGCGGGTGCTCTTAGAAATGCTTGCTGTATTTTCGTTGGGACAGCAGACTTTAGAACTTTAGATGTCCGCCCCGCGATCCCGGACGAACATCCCTAAACCCTAAACCCTAAACTCTCCCTAGACCGTAAACCTAAACCCTAAACCCTAAACCCTAAACCCTAAACCCTAAACCCTAAACCCTAAACCCTAACCCTGAACCGCTACCCTCCTTAAGAGACACTAAGAGGTGACAGAAACCCAAAGTGCAGAGCAATACGAAGCCACCAGACACCAGTCTGGAACACCTTAGCTCTAAAACAGAATGAGGGTTTAGCGTTTAGGGTTTAGGGTTTAGGGGCACACCAAGCAAGGAATTCCCCAAGCAGACCACCCCGCGCGGCTTCCCCGGGTGCTGCCAAAGCCATGTGCGCAACCCCGGCGCTGATGGGTTCGGGGTGCAGGGCTTCGGGTATTTTGTGGGTTTAGGGTTTGTTTAAGGGTTTAGGGTTTAGGATTTTGGGTTTAGGGTCTAGGTTTTCGGGTTTTAGGGGGCGTCGTGTTTAGGGGTTGAAGGTTCGGGGTGGTGGGGGCGGGGTTGGAGATACAGGCTTACTGTCGGACCCCGAACCTGTGTACTATGTACCCTCAAAATGGAAAATTTCACTGAGGATATGTGAATTGCTACAGACAAGCATGAAGATGCCTTCGCCCGAAACCCTAAAGCCAATTTCATGGCAAGTTTCGATCCCTTACAAGCCATGTGAAGCCCTGTGAGCCCTGTAAAGCCTTTCCCCATAAACCAAAAAAAACCTAAACCCTGTAAATCCCCGTGACACCCTTTTAACAACCCTCCGAGCCCTCTGAACCCATAAAGGCCTACGAAAAGCCAATTGAGCCCCAAGCCCTAAGCCCTTCAAATCCTGTACAACCCTACAAGACCGTATAAACTCTGTGGAATCCCGAAAAATCCTTATGCACCCCATAAAATCCCTATAGATTCCTTGTGAAACCCTTCAAAATCCTACAGACGCTTTACTGAGGTTCGACATTGCCCACGAGCAAGTCGCACTCGCGCTGGAGGCAATGGAGCTTTTACGGTGTTTTTTTGGGGCTTAGGGTTTACCTGGGACTCTCTTTATCTACAGTTTCTATGGGTTGTACCTACAGCTTGAGGTTTACCTGGGACTCTCTTTACCTACAGCTTAGTAGCAACTACCGCTGAACTAGTAGTTTATACCTACTGATTCAGGGTCAGTTGCTACTCAGCTGTAGGAAAACAGAGCCCCAGGCAGGGTTCGCTTCAGCCCCCCAGTGTGGCAACTTGGAACACGAGCTTCGGGCCTTCATAAGACTGCACAGCGCTTAAACCCTTCAGTAGGGTTCAGGGTTGGCGGTTTAGGGGATGTTTTGGGAAACCCTAAACCTTAAACCCTAAACCCTAAACCTTAAACCCTTTAAACTTTAAACCCTAAACCCTCAACCCTGGGGGCCTCTTCCCTCCTACTGTGACCTCCCTTCCCGGTCCCCGTCATCACGTGGCGCCTTGCACTTCGAGTAGACTCCTCACCGAAAGAGGCTTGCAGCGTCCATCACAGGCCTAAAGCCTTTACGAGGCTTGGGCGTTAGAGTGCCCCCGCGCTGAAAAAACGAACGACCGCTGCTTTAAACCTGCCCCCTCCCCCTCCCCCCCCCTCCCCCCGCCCTCCCCCCCTTGCGTTGAACCCCCAATCCCTGAACCCTAAACCCGAAACCCTAAACCCATTCTCCAAGCCGCAGAAAGTCGCCTCAAAGCTCAAACCACCTAAGACCTACTGTACCCTGCCATAAACCCGAGAAACCCTTATAGCCCCACGCAGAACCCTAAACCCTAAACCCTAAACCCTAAACCCTAAACCCTAAACCCTAAACCCTAAACCCTAAACCCTAAACCCTAAGCCAATCTTGCGAAATCGGGCAGGAAGCCATCTCCCCAGCCTCGCATCAGACAGTGAGATCCAGGCCCCCCCTTTTGGTGAGATGGAGGGTTTAGGGTTTAGTGTTTAGGGTTTAGGGTTTAGGGTTTAGGGTTCAGGGTTCAGGGTTTAGGGTTTAGGGTTTGCGTTTTAGGGGTTAGGGTTGAGGCGATTACGGCTCGCTATTGTCTTTGCTAGCCGCCTATCCAGGCCCGCATAGCGAACGACCTTTTGCAGAAAGCTGTCTGACCTTCGCATGGCCATAGAGGACCAGAAGACACAAACCCTGCATGCCCTCAACTGCCCTTAAACGCCTCTACCAGGCCTCGCACCCGAAAGCGTATAATCATCAAGTGAACCCAGGAGCCCACAGCCCAGCCAGGTTCGGTTAGGGTTTTTGGGCTTTCAGTTTTGGGAGCTCGGTGGCGCAACCCTAAACCCCAAATACACTCCAAACCCTGAACCCCTATCTAACCCCTAAACCCTAAAACCTAAACCCTTACCCCTACACCTTATCCTAAACACTGGAGGCCAACCTCGCCGGCTGCAACGATGTTCGCAGGGCTGCAGGCACAGGGAATGCCCCCAGAAACCCCCAGCCGCACCTCGGTGACTGTGTAGGGTTTCTGGAAGCCAGAGTAGGGCCTCTTTCCTTTTTACTTTGTTTATTCTTGTTGTGATTATTGTTATTCTTGTTCTCCTATTATTATTATTATGAGAAAATTATGTTTTTTTTTTTTTTTTGGGGGGGGGGGTGGGTGGGATGTGGGCCCCGGACCCCTAAGCCCCAAACCCGAAACCCCAAAACCCTGAACCCCAAACCCTAAACCCCAAACCCTAAACCCCAAACCCGAAACCCCAAACCCTGGACCCCAAACCCCAAACCCCAAAACCCGAAACCCCAAACCCTAAACCCCAAACCCTAAACCCCAAACCCTAAACCCCAAACCCTAAACCCTAAACCCCCTGAACCTTTGTGGGCTGGTCGACTCTCTGCAGGACCCGGAGTTGCCCACGATGTGGGCCGAGTCGTGCAGCTCCCTGGCCGCACATCGCTTTGGGGTTCAGGGTTCAGGGTTCAGGGTTTGGGGTTTGGGGTTTGGGGTTTAGGGTTTAGGGTTTAGGGGTTCAGGGTTTAGGGGTTTAGGGGTTTAGGGGTTTAGGGGTTTAGGGGTTTAGGGGTTGAGGGTTTAGGGGTTTGGGGTTTGGGGTTGGGGTTTTTCAGGTTTACGGTTTTCGGGTTTAGGGTTTGGGGTTTAGGGTCTAGCGTTCAGGGTTCAGGGTTCAGGGTTCAGGGTTTGGGGTTCAGGGTGTGGGGTTTAGGGTTTTGGGTGACCTTAGGGTCACGATCCGACCCTGTTGGGTGCCGACGACCCTCGAGTCCTCGACACGAAACGCAAAATCCCAATGCTTGAAGCTTCATGGGCAGTTCTGTGTGGTACCCTAAACCCTAAACCCTAAACCCTAAACCCTAAACCCTAATCCCTCAGCCAAAAACCCTGAGTGCCACAAGTTGGATGAACCTTCAAGTTCTATAACCCCAAAGCCTAGAAGCTATGTCAGGTTGCGGGCTTAGAGATCCCGGAGTAGATCTACCTTGAAGCCGGAACCCCAAGCAAGTACCACAAGGACCCGGAGTAGGCCCTTGTTTTCGCTTTGTTCGGGGTTTAGGGCCCCTTGTAATCCCCCTAAACCCTAAACCCTAAACCCTAAACCCTAAACCCTAAACCCTTTTTGCTCCCTGAGCTACTCTTGGGTCTAGACTACCTGATCGTATGAGCTACCCTAATCCCCAAACCTCTCAAGCCCACAAAAGCCTGAGGTCCGAAAACGCTGACCCTAAACCCTAAACCCTAAACCCTAAACCCTAAACCCTAAACCCTACAAGCCAGTGGGTCAAGGCCAGGCGTTCGCTTCGCCAGACCTGTCGGTGGCCGAGTGAGTCGGGTTCAGGGTCCAGGTTTCAGGGGGGTTTAAGGTTTAGGGTTTAGGGTTCAGGGTTTTAGGGTTTTAGGGTTACAGGGTTTAGGGTTGAGGGTTTGGGTTAGGGTTATGCAAAGCTATTGCGTGCTTGTATTTCGACTCGCATCCTTCTGAGGGCAGTGGGAGGCATTGAACCCGTTGCTTGGACAGGAAGGCTCAGGGGTTAGGTCGCCTTGGGCTCTCACAGTGCTGCTGTCCGCTGCTCGGAGTCATGGCCGCCGACTTGCCATTGCCAGCAGGGCTGTCTTGGCAACCCTTCTCCGATGGCAGAGTGCCAGTGAATGCCGTCAAGGGAGGTTGGTCATCTGACACGAATGAGCCCTTCTACGTCGGGCGCAGCGGCCACAAGGGCGACATCACTCCAGGAAAGGTCCATCCTGGCCATGGCTGCCTGTACTTGCCTTCAGGGGCGGAGGAACACAAGCACAAGAGCTACGAGGTCTTGCAAGCCGATCCTGCGGTAAACTTGCACTGGCTGAGATACAGCGGGGGTGGTGGCCTTAGATCCTCAAGTCAGGACTTGCAGCTGAATCTTGCCTTTAGGGTTTAGGGCTCTTAGGGTTTAGGGTTTGGGGGTTAGGAAACCCGAAACCCTAAACCCTAAACCCTTTCTCAGGTCATGTGCCTCCTGGAGCAGTTCCAGGGGGAGTTGACCATGACGCCGGGGGTCCATCCTACATTGGTCGGACCGTCAACAAGCACAAAGGCGACACTGTACCGGGCAAGATCGTTCCGAAGCTCTGCGGCCTCTACTTTGCTTCCGGTGGGAAGGAATATTTCAGGTCAGAGTACGAGGTCTTGGTCGTTGATGACCCAGATGAGTACGAGCTTAGTGATGTCAAGTTCGACATCGCCGGGGCAAAATCGAGGAAGGACCCCAATCAGGTGGTGGTTTCCGAAATTGTGGTACCTTATTGAGGTCCGTATAAGTGATAAACCCTAAACCCTAAACCCTATACCCTATACTCTATACCCTAAACCCTAAATCCTAAACCCTAAACCTATTTGGGGTCCATCTCAGACGTCCCCTTATTTTCGTAAAACCCTCAGGTGAGCATCGGCAAGGAGACCTTCACAAATCGGAGTCCGCTTGAGCAGAGTAGTACCCTCTGCATCGACTTCCAGGACACGAAGACGGAGAACTGGGGCCATCAGGTGGGCATCAAGATCCTCGGCTTTCTTCCGGCTGGCTGACTTTCTTCAACCTTTTTGGGGCTTTTGTAGAAGCTACGACAGGGAGCCGATAAGTTAAGCATTCAGGAGGGGCCCTAAACCCAAACCCAAAACCCTCAGAAGTCAAGCAAGGTTAGGGGTGAAGACCAGCTTCAAGACCGGAATCCCTTGCATCGTGGAAGGGAAGGTTGAGGTCAGCGGCGAGTTCAGCTACCAGCACTCCTGGGGCAGCGTCCGCTCCACCTCTTCCAAGCAGGCTGCGCAGGTGAACGTGAAAGCAGGTCCCAATTCCCAAGTCGTTGCCGAAATGAGAGCCACAAAGTACCAAATCGATGTCAATTATTCCGCGACCTTGAAACATCTCAAGGACGGTAAGATCACCAAGACGGAGCAGATCAGCGGCACTTATAAGGGTGCTCAATTCGCAGACTTCGACGTCACCGTTTCGAAGCCCACCCCTCTGTAGGCCACTGTGCACAGCGCACACCAGTACAGAACGCAGCAGGGAAGGCCAAAACTGGTGGTGGAGCTGACATTCCTGGGTAGGGTTGAGGTTGCTTATGGGGTTTAGGTTTTAGGTTGAGGGTTGAGGGTTTAGGGTTTAGGGTTTGGGGTAGTTTTTTTCCATATATGCGGGGGTGACTCCCCAGGCTGCAAGGTTGAAGGCAGATGGATTCGTCTTCCTCATGGCTCCGTCCGTATTTCTTAAGCCCCAGGGGGCCTTCAAACCCTCATCTCCCAAACCCCTGAAAGCCCCACAAAGCCCTATAACCGTAAGACCCCAAACCCCTCTGCAATCCCCAAACCCGAAGACCCTAAACCCTGAACCCCTGAAATCCCCTAAACCCTCTTCAAGCCCCAAACAGAACTGAGAGTTTACGCAAATAAGGGACCCTCAATATTGACCCCCAAATAGAAGGATTCCCTTATGATAAGGACCCCAATAAGGTACCCCCAAACCCTAAACCCTAAACCCTAAACCGCGGAAACTCCCAACTGAGGGCGCTTGCCTCCACTTCCGCGCCGAGGTCTGCGGCGACGAGTCGGGAGAACTCGCCGACCCGTCCTTGCGAGGAGGGAATCCCAGAACCGGGGTGTGGGGTTGAGGTTTAGGGTTTAGGGTTAGGGGTTAGGGTTTAGGGTTTAAGGTCTAGAGGGCTTGGGGGGGCTTGCACTTAAGGGCTAAGGCTCCACCCCTCCACCCCTAAACCCTAACCCTCGGTTCCGGGCCCAGTTGCCATCTTGAGGATAATTAAGAAGGGTTTTCGGGGTCTACGGTCTCAGGGTAGTTATATGGTCCCTGAATTTGGTCCCTTACCTGCTGTAACCGGTTGTGAAGTATGGGCCCTTGGGTTCATGGGGTATTTCAGGGGTATGTAAGGGATCCCCTTCTAGGGGCCCAGATTAAGGGACCATGTAACTACGTACCCTAAACCCTAAAACCCTAATGGGTTTAGGGTTGAGGACCCTCGATATGGTCTCCAGGTTTGGCACGTTTAGGGTTTAGGGTTTAGGGTTTAGGGTTTAGGGTTTAGGATTTAGGGGAATGCCTATGAAGGAATGGTAGCGTAGCTGTGGAGCAGGTCTCCGGACATGGAACCCTAAACCCTCATCCGGTACATTGGGCTTGAGGGTGTATTTAGACTTTTCAATATTCATGATTGAAAGAAAGAAGTGTATATATATATATACAGATATATATATATATATAGATATTTTTTTATATTGTTATTATTTTTGTTATTGTTCAATTTGTTTTAGTTTTGCTTTTGGGGGGGAGGGGGGGTGGTGGTGCACTAGCAGGGACCCCGATGTTGAACAATTATGAGGTAGGGTTGTATTACGTACTGTTCTTGGTGTGTGTATGTATCTGGCCCGTTATGATCATTTGTGAGTGTATGTCTGTGAGTGTCCTGTTGGGAATTCGAATAAGCATGCTACAGAATAGAGTTCAGGATCCCTACATCCAAAACTCCCGAAATCCTGAGACCATTAAGAACTTCAAGAAATCATTACCTGTTTTGTAGTCTTTTGGCAAGTGGGATTATTGGGTCCTCTCAAGGAAGAGAAGTGCTTGGCATGCTAAGTAGGTCCTTCTGATTTGGCTAAGCCTCAAACCCGAAACCCCAAAGCGTACGTAGGGAAAGTAACCCTGCCCTGGGCGGCCCCAAAACCCCACTAGAATGCGCTGACGTGCCCTTGTCACTTCGGTTTTAGGGTTTCGGCTTTAGGGCTTCGGGTTTAGGGTACTGCAGTACTTAGGGTTTTAGGGTTTATTAAGATGTAGGATGTCTCATAGTTCTAAAGCCCAACTGACCCCCCCCTAAAAGAGGGTACCCTTTTGATTCGGTTTCGGGTTTAGGGTTTAGGAATTGGGGTTTAGGAATGAGGGTTTAGGGTTTCCCTAAACCCTAAACCCTAAACCCTAAACCCTAAACCCTAAACCCTAAGAAGCATCGGAGAGATCGCGCAAGGCAGGCTGCAGGAAGCCAGGGCAAAGGGGAGGCCGCGCGCTTTTTGGGCTTCGGGTTTCAGTTGGGATGTTCCCTGTCACACCAAGAGTCCTTAATAAATAGGGATTAAAGTACCCTCATTATCCGTTATTCATATTGTGACGATTATTGTTGATTGTATTGGTACTACTAGTATTGTTATAATTAGTATTACTACCGCTACTACACCTACTACTACTACTACTACTACTACTACTACTACTACTACTACTACTACTACTACTACTACTACTACTACTACTACCACTACTACTACCACTACTGCTACGACGACTACTACTACTACTACTACTACTACTACCACTACTGCTACGACTACTACTACTACTACTACTACTACTACTACTACTACTACTACTACTACTACTACTACTACTACTACTACTACTACTACTACTACTACTACTACTACTACTACTACTACTACTACTACTACTACTACTACTACTACTACTACTACTACTACTACTACTACTACTACTACGACTACGACTACGACTACGACTACGACTACGACTACGACTACTACTACGACTACGACTACGACCACGACCACGACCACGACCACGACGACGACGACGACGACGTCGACGACGACGACGACGACGACTGCTACTACTGTTATGATATTGCTTGTTATTACTATTATCATCATCATCATTCTTATTAAATTTCCATTATCAGTTACTCTTCGTATTGTTACGATTAATGGTATTGATACTATTATTGTTATTATTATTCCTACAATCACTATTACCATTGTGCTTGTTGTCACTGGTACTCGACCATCATCGCGGTCAGTGTTGTTGTGGCTGTTTCTTGTGTGATAGTGGCTTTTACCGCGGTAGGGCTTTGGACTAAGTTAAGGTTTCTTTTGGTAGGTTTACTCTTGGGCAGTTTTGGTTTTAGGGCGAAGATTCTGCAACGGGGCTTGACGGGACCATGTAAGGAAAGCGGGCCTAACGGGGCCTAACAGGGGCTTGTGAGACTGTATTGTGGGGTTGTCTAGATGAGTGACTGTCTTATCCGTAAGGGGTTTCCCGACAATCAAAGAACTAAAGATGTGGATGCCCTGGCCTGTCCTGTTGGTAACTTGCTTGTTTTGTTGACTTACTTTCTGGGTGGTGATGGCCAGGACTATGATTATGGCTATCGGATAATCATTGTAGATTTGTTAAGCACTCTCTATTCTTCTCATCGCAGTTTTTGTATTGACTATTCAGTTTTTGACCTGGCCGTTTTCAGGATTAGGGTGTTGGAAGTATTTCCGACAGGTTCTACCTTTCCAGCGTTGGGGTTTCAGTACTATAGTACTCCTTGTAACACCCAGTAAGGCAGAAACCGCACACATCTCAATGGGACACCCTTGGGGCTGCAACCGTGACCCTCATTTCTTGACGGGCTGAAATCTCCCCGAGGTCTCGAATCCAGAATCTCCTGAGTTGCGCATGGTAGAGCCCCAAGCTTGACACCGATGCAATGGCCGAAGTCCACGGGAGAGAGGCCCTGCTCCGGGCTGGTGTGTCTCCGACCCAAGTGGGGGATGCTATCCAGAACCTGCAGTTGCAGCAGTTGGTTCCGGCCCCGGCGGCTCCGGCGCCGAATTTGCAGAGGTTTAGCACGGGTCTCTGGCAGCTTCCACATGCCTCGGCGTTGAGGCAAAAGCAACTTGAGGAGATGAGGGGAGTCTGCAGCCTGTCGGAACGCGATTTCGATTCCCTTAGCGACATCGTGAAAAGGGGCTCCCGACTCCCGAGCTTGATTTTTGGCGCGATGATGGCATGTCTTGTCGTCTGTCTGCTCTCGCTTCTCTTCTTCTTTCTGTCAGGAGATGTCTTTGACAAGAGCCATGACCCCCCTCCATACTACATGGTGGGCCAAGCATCTCCGTTGATCTGCTTCTGCCTGGTCCCGGCGTATTTGTGCGCACTTCCCCGAGCAAATCGTCAGATCACACGCGATCTCAACCAACACTTCCGGTTGCATGCACGCAACTTCAGCTTCCAGCTCGTCGTCACAAAAAAAGATATATGCTGCATGGAGACTGACTGGCGACTGGTGGTGAGCTTTGAATCCAGGGCTGATGGAAGCGTCTGATTCTGTGAGCTCTCGGCGATCTTCGTTTGGCGCAGCTCGGGGCGTGCTCGAGCTTGCTTTAGCCAACTTGCCTGCGCCCCGAGGGAAGCAGCGACGTTGAACAAATGGTTTCATCCCAATCAAGCTGACCACTTCTTGGTTCGAGGTGATGTTGTGTGGGCCTGTGCTCCCTCATACGCTTGAAAGCACATCCCCACCCTTTTACTAGCCCTTTTCGTTGCCCTTATATAGATTTATAGTACCCATTCATACCCTCATATCTAGTACGTAAACCCTACACCCGAAACCCTAAACCCTAACTCCTGAGATTCAGGGTGTTGTTCCTGGGCCTCCGACAGACTCGGCCTGAACGTTGGGGTGAGTTTTCGCTTTATCCCTCAGCCCTTGTGAGCCCTGATATAATCCTTTTTAAGGAATTAGGGTTTAGGGTTTAGGGTTTAGGGTTTAGATTTCGTCTTTCATATTTCCTGGGGCTGCTCTCGGGTTTTATGGTTGAGGTTTTGCCCCTAAACCCTAAACCCTAAACCCTACACCCTAAACCCTAAACCCTAAGGGTAGCTACAAGTGGGAAGCAGGAAACTATGTTACTTGTGAACCTTCAGGTAGGGTTTGAGCTGTGTCCTTTCCTAGGACCTTGGACCCCAAAACTCTAAGCCCTGAGCCCGAAGCCCTGCTCCCGTAGAAGGCTGCAGAAATAGGGCAGCCCCACTCTCTTATGATGATCCCGGTTCAACGGGGATTTCGGAGGTAGGAGTTGAGAGTCTAGGGCATCAGGTTCGGGATGTTGGCAATTGGGGTTGAGAATTTAGGGGGTCTGGGCCTATGCAAGGTCTTAGAGGGGTCTTGGAGGCAGTTTCTGGACTGCTTGTTGTGACAGAAGGAGCGTTGAAGCCTGGGCCCCACCTGGGAGTAAGTTGAAGGGAATCCTTTACTTAGAAGCTCTTTTGACTTAGTAAGTCTACTTAGTATCCCTAAGAATTGGAAGCCCTCTTAGAATCCCCATAGCCCACCTTACTAACCCTAAACCCTAAACCCTAAACCCTAAACCCTAAACCCTACTAAGTCAAAAGGGCTTCCAAGTAGGGGCCTTAGGGTATCGAGGGCAGAATTACTTTTCAAGGGAAGGTTGCCCCATTGCACCCTAGATCCTTTGGGTTGAGTGCTTGAGCTCAAGGCGCAAAGTTGTGGAAGGTTTTTGGAGGCTTTGGTTTAGGGTTTAGGGTTTAGGGTTTAGGGTTTAGGCTTTAGGGTTTAGGGTTTAGGGTTTAGGGTTTAGGGTTTAGGGTTTAGGATGTAGGGCTTGAGATTCCTAATCTCCCTTTTGAAGCAGAGTAGAACTCGCAATGCTGCTCCAGGTCGCGGTGTGCCAGGCAGGAAGAATTGGCGCCATGGCAAGGCGTGGTCTCCGAAACACGATTAAGGGTTCAGGGTTCAGGGTTTAGGGTTTAGGGTTTAGGGCTAGGCTCGTACCCCTCATCCATCTGCCAGTATCTGTGTTTTCTGGCCAGGTTTAAAGGCTTGACCTCTCGTCTAAGCCCCAAATTCTGAACCCCAAGGCCCTAAGGCCCTGGCGAAAGAGAGCCTTTGAATCTCCCTAAACCCTAAACCCTAAACCCTAAACCCTAACCCCTAACCCCTAAACCCTAAACCCTAAACCCTAAACCCTGACCAAAGCTTGTGAAGGTGAAGCCACTGGGCGCGCTGGAGGCCTCTGAGACCGACGAGGCCGGCTTGGATGCCAGAAAAAGGGCTCTGGGTGTAACCCTAAACCCTAAACCCTAAACCCCAAACCCTAAACCCTAATTAAACCCTAAACCCTGAACCCTAAATTAGGAGCGTCTGAGTTTGGGAGTTCGAGCTTAGGACCTGGGACTCTGTTTTGCCGAGGCTTTGTACTGAGGTCTCCCTAAACCCTAAACCCTACACCCTATGTTTAGGGTTTGGGGCTAAGGCCTTTAAGACCCAGGTTTCATTTCAGGGTTTAGGGTTTTGGCTTGCTGGCCCATGTTCAACCCGTGCCCTACTCTAAAGCTGCCGCGGACCAAACCAGCCCAAACACTGAACACATACATATATCCATTTATTGTTTACAGTGGCATTCAAACATAGACATGTATGTATGTACATATGTCATGTTCAAGCCATACCCCCCCCCCCCCCACGGTACAAAAGGAAAAAACCCTTCTTCCAGTTCCCGGGCTCAAAGCCCCACCTTCGAACGCCGGCCGCAAGCCTCGCGCTGTGCAGAAGGCTGTGGTGGGTTTAGGGTTTGGGGTTTGGGGTTTAGGGTTTCGAGTTTGGGGGTTTAGGATTTGGGGTTCAGGGTTCAGGCTGTAGCGTTCAGGATTTGCTCATATGGGCCTTGGGTTTGTGGCTTAGGGGTCACGAGGCTTTCAGGCTTGAGGTAAAAGGACGTGCTGCTTTAGGACTTCAGGGCTTTAGATGCTCACTTCTGCCCAAGTGGGAGAGCGTACGGTTTAGGGAATAGGAAACGACATGGTAGTACGGACTGTACCTTAGTCACGTCTCAGTCCTCCTTAAGCTCCGGCCGACTTCCTTGTTGCAGGACTGAATAGTGTTCAGGGTTTTAGCGTTAAGGGGTCGGGGTTTACGGTTTTAGTAGAGCTTGCGTTTCGGTGTTTATAGTCTAGAGATTATAAACCCTAAACCCTAAACCCCAACCCCAAAGCCCAAATTACATGCGACCGCAAGAAATTGTCGAATCACGTGCTTTAGTCCAGAAGTGTGTCTCAGCTGCACCAAGAGGTTCCCCTTTTCAGGACCACGCTGGAGTTCGGGGCATGGCTCCTGGGATTCGGGTTTAGGGTTTAGGTTTAGGGGGTTGAGGGCCAGGGGTTAGGGACCACCCCCCCCCCCCCCCCCCAGAAAAAAAAAGATAATAATAAAACCATGATCGTACTCTAAGCTCCATAGGCAAAGAGCAGCTTACCATAGTCCTTCGTGTCTAGGCTCCTTGGGATCCTGTGACGTAGCCCTAAAGCCTAAACCCTAAACCCTAAACTCTAAACCCGAAGCCCTAAACCCTAAACCCTAAACCCTAAACCCTATGAAGAACAAGTAGGTTAAACACAACGTCAGGTTACCAAGATGCCCTACCGACGGCCGGAGTGGCCTGATCTCGGCGCCCCGTCGCAAAGTTGTGAGTCGGGTTTAGGGTTTAGGGTTTAGGGTTTAGGGTTTAGGGTTTAGGGTGTAGGGTGTTCGGGTTTAGGGTTTAGGGTTTAGGGTTTAAGGTTTGGGTCGGGATGTTCCCCCTTCTACTAACAGAACTTAGCACGGATTCGAATCGAGGGCACCATGATCCCGATCAAGGGCTGTTTTGATAAGGCGGAACATCCCAACCCATAGGGCTTATGGAAGTTTCTTCCGCAACGCGGGGGCCTCTCTTTTTTTTTGTCTTTTTTTGCGGGAGTTGGCAGAACCTTGTCAAAGGGAATCCCTGAGCAAGTGACCTGCAAAGGTGGCCTTACTGTCAAACAACTTCCACATGAGCGTGTGGAGTCTGGAGTTGTTCGGTTGTGCTCTTCCCTTCGTCACTTAGGCCCTTACACCCCAGGCACCCCAAACCCCAAACCCCAAAGTCCTAGAACTGAAAACCCTAAAGCCCTCCCTCTAAACCCTAAAGCCCTAAAATCCTAAACCCTGAACCCCAACCCCTACACCCTAAACCCTAAACACAACCCTGAAAACCCTAAACCCAACTGCCTGCCAGGTATCGTCTCCTGCGCGCCGGGCGTTGATGGCCATCCAGCCTTTTGCCTCTGCTACCTGGCCTCTAACACTAATACCACCAGGGTTTGAGGGTTTAGGGTTTAGGGTTTAGGTTTAGGGTTTAGGGTTTAGGGTTTACACAGCCCTAAACCATAAACCCTACACCCTAAACCCGAAACCCTAAACCGATTTAGGGCCTTTAGGGTTCTACGCGTTTGGGTTTCATCCCAAGGATCCCCTGAGCCCAGAGGACGCGGGACATAGGGCTGTCGGGTTAGGCCTCATATCCCCCATCTACCCCTCAAGCCCTGGGTTTAGGGTTTAGGGTGCAGGAAGAGCCTGTTTAGCTGCCCTTATGCGTATAGTTGTACTGGTACAACTACCCTAGCATCCATTCTGATGAAATGGGACCTGTATCCAAAGCCCTAAACGAGAGTCCAGTCGAATCAACCCTAAACCCTACACCCTAAACCCTAAACCCTAAACCCTGAAAACTAAACCGGGGTCCTCAGGCTGGGGGGCAAGTGAGCCTTCGAAACACTCCACGGTCACACGCCTCGCCCTGAGTAAGGGTGCCTAGGCCTAGTATGCTGGTGGGGCTTCCAGGGTTTTGTTTTTTAGGTCTGATGTGCTTGTATGGTTTGAGTGTGGGGGATAGGCCTACTATGGCTTGTGGGGGCTTTTGGTTTTAGGTCTGATGTGTTTGTAGGGTTTGGGTATGGTGGCTTGGGGTTTGGATTGGGGATTAAGGGCTAAGGAGCTGTTGTTTTGGAGTTCGGGGCGTCAGGGCTATAAAAAACCCCGACCAGAACCTTGCGAAAGCCAATCCGCCCCAATACCCTAAAATTCCAGAAGAGGCCAAATAAACCCTAAAACCCCCGAAAATCACACTAAATCCTCAATGCTCCCATGTCAACTAAGCATTCTACATCCTAAGCTTGGGATGTTCCCCCTAATAGGGATTATAGCACCCCCTATTATAATCCCTATTAAGGACTGTTAGTATGAGATGTTCCCCAACCCTAAACCCTAAACCCTAAATCGCCAGGGCTTGAGCTGCAGTGCATTCCACTCGGCAAGGAGGAGGTGGCAGTTGCCATGGGCTTGGCGACATCAGACAGATAAACCCTAAACCCTAAACCCTAAACCCTAAACCCTAAACCCTAAACCCTAAACCCTAAACCCAGGTTTAGGGTTTAGGGTTTGTGGATATACCTACCTCTTTATTTTGGGAATCAGGAGTATGGGCCCTGTTAAGTATACTGAAA